AATCTTCGGCAAAGGCTCCTAAAGCGGATAAAGAGAAGTCACTATCTCCGGATTCCTCAGAATCATCTGAGATTAATTCCACCAATGATATCTCTGGCACTGTGAAGATCAATGTGTATGAAAAGTGGCTGTCACTTGTCCTTGGACCAATTCTCCTTATGATATTGTCATCATAAACTGAAATTGGTTTCATTGAATTTACCAACAGTATATATCTGATGTTCAAGAATGAAATGTGTTGCGTGATTGCGAGAAAGGAGTTGAATATTGTGAGTCCAGAGCGAAATTCGAATACTGTAGCGGTGAATTTATCAGAGTGCCTGTTTTTTCCTCCATAAGTTAATTTAAGTGTTGTGTTTTGACTTAAGGTTTCCTCAATATAGTTTACAAGCTTTCTAATAACCTCTATTTACGGTGGCAGCCACATGAGCATGAGCACCACCGGTGCCGTCAATGCCACCATTACAGGCACCAACAAGCTTGCTATTTGTAAGTCTGTACGTATTTCTATAATGTAAATTAAATTATCCTTGGTAATGGTGTAATCAGTTTAAACTACTGCTTCAATCTCATGACAAATGCAAAAGTATTTGACCGCGAGTTGCATTATTCTATAATTTGGCATTATCCACTGATAGATTCAATGTGAATACCCTGCAATTTGAGATGCTGTGGCCCAAACTTAAAATTGTCTTATATGTATAATAGGAATTAAAGAACATTGATTTATAATTTTTTTATAAAGTATATCATTTAATACTAATAAATAGCAAAATATATAATTAAATACAATAAAAATGAAAAATTATTAAAATAACTTTTATTTTTTTCTTTGTTGATGGTTGAGTTATTTATGATTTATGTTCAACTCTCATCTCTCACGTGTTTTCTTTTCTTAGGAAAGAAAGAAAATTAACACAAATTCATTATTTATACTCACATTTATTATTTATTGTGTTACATTTTTGAAAAAAAAAATAACTCTTTAATTTCTTTTATCTCATAAATATTTTATATAGTCACTTTTGTGTGTGTCTAAAAAGAAAAAATATGTTTTATGTGTTATTTCATAAATATTTTTAATTTGTTGCTTTATTATCATATATTTTCTTTCTAGTAATTATGTATCTTAAAATTTAATTAGTTTTTGATAATTTATTTTTTAGTCTTAACTTTCTTTTTTTAAATAGATATATTAATGAAAAAAATAAAAAATAAATTTATTTTTTCAAAATAATAAAGAAAAAATAATCTATAAAAATAAAAACAATACAAATTCAACTTTTTATAAATTATGTGCTTTTATTGAATTTGTTGATTGAATTTGTTGAGTATGTTATTTGAACTCTTTCAATTTGTTAATTAAAATCTGCTACTAAACAAGACATAAATAAACAATACTCTAATCACGGAATATCAAACTTCTTCGTTAGAGGATGTGTAGGTCGAATATAGTTAACAAATAATTTTAATAATTAAGAAATTAAAATATAATATTATATAAACATGTATGCCATATATAAAATATATAAATTTTTGTGAACATCACTTACTTTATGACTAAGTTAGTCGCATGGGAACACGACATCAAGTTTCCTTCTTAACACGTACTAATACAGTGTATCGTTGTCGGTTATGGGAAACATTATCGCAAATTAAATAGTGAAAAATGGAATAAAGCATTTTTGTATTAATTAGTGTAAAACATGGAGACGTAAGGTTAGGTAAGAAAATGACATAAAGCAAATAAATAAATTAAACTTAAATAAATAAAACAATAATGAATTCCGTGAGAATTATTTTAATGTTTATCTCTCACCATCTCGTAGAAAAAAAAATAAAAATAATTGATGTATTAATTTAATATGTGATTTCCCAATCTCAATCCCTTTCACTGCTAAATCTTTGGAATCTCACCAAACTACTAGGCATAGATGGATGTAGCACTTTAATTTCCTGGGTAGGTAAGATGCTTATTCTCATAACTAACGTAACTACACTTTAGATATAATACATTAATAAAATTTAATTAAATTATACAATTACTTAAATAAACTGAACTGAATAATCATTTAAATAAGTTGAAATAAACCAAATTATTTTAACATTTTAAATTAGTATTTTTAATATCTAACTTATTTTAAGATATGGTTTTAATATAGTAAATAGTTCACATAGTTCAGGACTATGATAATTTAAATGAGATAGATAGTCATTTCATCCATCACCACACCACTATTCTTAAATTAATTCATAATTTTTCTTTTTTATTCTTTACTTTAATGGGTATTTGGTTAGATATACCATAATTTTTTTAATTATTATTTCGGACGAATGCTTAAATTATGTAGTATCTTAAATTTAAATCTAATTTTTATTCATATTAGTGGAATACTAATACTTCAATATATTTATGGAAGAATTTTGCTTTAGATGTATTATTTTAAAAAAAAAAATTTAGTCACATTGTCTAATTTGTACAACTAGTTATAACATTGCGTTTAATTGTGCCATTGCTTAGATAAAATGTTATTTTTATGTTATTTTTCTTATTCCTACATCTCTTATCTAATCAGTATCAGTATAGCCAATCATCATCTAATCAATATCAGTATAGCCAATCATAAAAAAATTCTATCTTTGAGGTATCATAAACTTCCTTTAAACCTTGTAAACACACACATTGCTATTCCATGAATCTTTTAAATAATCTTACTTCAAATACATGCCATTTGTTGTTGTCAAATATATTAGACTTCTGATCAAACTTTTATAACAAGTTGCATCTACTATCTTGTTATCAATTTTTTTTCAATTGGTGTGAAGACTAACTTTTAATTTTTTTTTTATTTTATATTTTTTCATAATACTCACTAACATATATGTTTTTTCCCTGTGATATGAATTGATGGATGACAACAATGCATAAAAAAATATGTAAATTTGTCATTATTATTGTCACTAAATATTAAATCATCAAAATAAAGACACGAATACGAGTTTCTTTTTGTTTTTTTTTTTTTTGTTTTTTTCATTTCCTCAAATCTATCCTTTACATTTTTTAAAATAAAAAATTTCTCAAATTCTATGAACAAAATTAAACAGTATATCATGGTTTGAATAACCAATAATATCATCTATCTAAACATTGAAGAAAAGTTATAGTCACCCAAAAAAACAATCAAACTAGCACCCTCGATCATCCAACCATAACCATATATGAGAAGATTTCATTAATAGACTTCATCATGGTCATTATTGGGACTATGATATAGTGTAACTTTTAATACTATGATATTATATTAATAACTGAATATGTCTAATTCAGTTTTATAAAAATTGATTTATAAAATAAGATTTACATATTAGTTTATATATTATGATTTGCTCATATACTTTTAGTGAAATTTTAAACAAATTATCTTGCAAAAATTAAATATAAGATTAAATATTTATAAATAGTTTAACAGGATCTCAACAATAATGACTTGTTAACTTCAATGAATTGGACTATATATGATAAAGTCTTAATGACTTATATTATTCTAATAAATATTTTGTTTAATTTAATATGATAAAAATTGGTTTATAAGACAAAATTTACACTCTATGTATATATTATAATTTAATAATATCCCTAATTAATATGAAGTTTTCAATAATGACTCTCATGAAGAGATTAACAAACATTGTTAAAGAAGTGAAAACATGAAAAAAAATCAATTGTGTCATCATAATGCAAAGCACAACGGAAACAAGAACAACAATTACATAAAATCGACAATGAATTATGCATCACGCAAAGTTATAAAATAAAAAAGTTATATACATATACATATACATACATATATATATATATATATATATATATATATATATTAGTAACCAAACCAAATTTTTTTATTATTAACATCAATTAGAATGGTAACTGATATAATTTTTTTTTAATAACAAAGCTATCACTGCATTTTTCTAAATCGTAATTATTCGTAAATTACGTAATATGCGAGTTTGTAAAAACTTGTTTTCACACTAGTGTGCGTTGCCGATAAAATAACAGCTATTTAATTAGTTCAAATTATTTTTTACACAAAACTAACAATTATGTCAAGGCATTTTATACACAAAACAGCTATATGATATGTCATAGAGTGGAGCTTAATATATATATATTTTACATGAAACTAGTATCAATTTATGATAGCAGTGACAGTGTAAAGCTACCACAATATGTTTCTATGTAATTTTTAATTCTTTAATCTATACTATTAACGTATTATAAATTAAACTTTAATATCATCATTCTTCATTGGAGTGCATGCTAAAAGCTGAAACAACTCATGGCATGCAGATTGTTTACAGAAGAAACATATATATGTATATATGGTAAACGACATAGCTTATGAAATTATGAAAGCATATTTAAAATGAGTAGAAAAAAAAAAGTGTTTATTTACCTCTATGAAAAGCATTTCACGCCCTGCACAGTTAAAAGGCCACTGAAAAAGAAAGAAAAACTAGGTCACAGACACCAGGTAAAAGGTACGACAATGTAAAGTTGTATCAACCTTACACGTCAGAGAAAAGTCTGGTTGAATTGGTAAGAGAAAATACAGTGTTTCTGCTTCATCCATGGACATGCATGGCCATGGAGGGAGGGTAGGACCTTCCATAACGGAGAATCAAATCACCCTCTGAGTTTTGGACTCATCTCATAGATATTCACATTCATATGAATATATATATCACTTTTGTCCCGTCTCACATGCATTGACCCCACCTCCCTCAGGAGACCCTCCTATGATATCGAATATATTATATCACACGTGAAATCTTCACGTTTCACTGTGTTGCTTAATTTCTCCATTGGTAATGTTGTTCAGTTTATGTGCTCCAACTAGTAACAGTAGCTAGCTATATATATCACTATCACATAACTTCATCAGCTTCTTTAGCTCTAAGCTATGTTTCTTTAAAATGGAAGTTTCAAAGTTGAGACTCTAGACATAGTGTCCACCGCACTGTCTCTGCAGGTTCATGCCTGAGCCTGACCCCATTGCATTAAATTTAATGTTGTTATCTCCGACACCCAAAAAATCTCGGGTTAAACCGAGTTGATTTTTGCTGTGTGAGCTTATGGAGTGTAATTGTTTTCCCATAATTGATGCTGCTGTTGTCTCTTCATCCACCGGCATCACCATGTGCTCCAAACCCTTGGTGCCATTCACAACCACAAACGAGTTGTTTGAGTCACCATTCAATAAATACCCACCACCACCACCTCCAAGGTTGGTGCACCCTTCCACACTCACCAAGTCGTCCAGCTTCTGAACCTCAACAACAACGTTGTTGACAACATTGTTGTGGTTGCCGTTCCTATTTCTGCCCGTGGAGCAAAACGCGTTGTCGTTCACCCTAGTAGATCCCATTTGAACAGTTTTCTGCAACACTGTGGTGGCTGACATGTAGTGAGGTGGGTTCTGATTACTACTCAAGTACAAGTTGGAGCTTGCGCTATGCGACAACTCTCCTTTGTTTTCTTCTTGTTCCTGCTTCAGTCCATGTGGCGGCAGCACAGACAGGTTGGCACCTCCAAATGACGCTTCTGGGTAACGGTAATTCACAAACTGTGGCCCAAACATGTCCATCGTTTGCACCACATCAGGCACGGGGTTTAGCCCCGAAGAACTGAAATCACTTGGTTTGGTTGGGAAGTTAATAAGGGGGTGGTGAAGTACTTGTGAATTCGCCTGGTGATCTAGCCAGAGTGGTAACCTTAGCTTTTGCTGCAGCTGCTGTTGTTGTTGATGATGATGATGGTTTGCCTCAGCATAATTCACCAATGACTCTGATGTTCCTGAACCACCGAATTGATCTGAGTGAAACCCTGAAAAAATCTGAGGGATCCTCGAAGCTTGAGCATTGGTCAAATGATGATCATTTCTCAAGTTGCTTAAGGCCGCCGGAACTGTTGTTATCCTCACACTTTCTTCAGCCAAAGCGTCGCAAAAGGCTCTATGCGTTATGAAGCTATCCTTCCTGATTTGTTAGAATATGCACAAAAACATCAATTAAGAACCCTCATTTATTATTCCAAACAAATATTCTCTCATCAGTTACTACTGCTACTGCATATATACATATATATATATATATATATATATATTATATATGGCGTCTGTTTCCATGGTTATCTTATCTGGCATCCATTTGATGTAATGAATTAACTGAATATTAAATTGCAACCGTATGTAACTATGTCTATGGATGAACTAAAGGAACAAATTAATTATGAGAGGATGAGGCATTAAATAGTATTAACTATTTCTGTGGAAATGCAAACCTGGAGAAAAGTGTGCCACAGTCACATTTGTACTCTCTAGTCCCACAAATCTTGCTATGGGCCTTCCAATCAGATTGAACAGCATATTTCTTGGAGCACTTTTCACACTTCCACTTCTTCTCCCCATGCTTTCTGCTATAGTGTTTCTTTATGCCAGTCAAGTCTCCCAAGGCTCTAGAGGGATCGTGATGCACACAACTCTTCTCAGGGCACACATACACCTTCTTCCTCACTTGATCTTTGTTTGTTCTCTGCTTCAGCTTCCACGGGAGGTTGTGGCCGCGTCTGTGGAGCTGCAAATTCTGGTCTCTCTGAAAACCCTTGCTGCAAATTTCACATATGAAACGGTTGGTGGCCATGAGGGACTTAGGTGACAGAGCCACCACTTCTGCATCTGGATCTGCATATGCACAATTCATATTACTTATAACTATATATTAATTAATGTAAACTAGAATTTCCTTGTTGGAAATGATAAAGAAATGGAAGAGATTGAGAGATAAGAAGTGGATTAACAGTCATAATCACTTGCCTGGTGTTCCGGGTAGACTTCTCCTTCTCTTAGCTGGATTTGAACTAGGATTAGGATTGTTATTATTAGGGTTTGAGCTGGGGGGTTGAACATGAACCAAGGAGTCTCTGACGGTGTTGGGAGGAACAGAAAAGGATTCTTCAGACATCATTTTTTGAAGTGAAGAAAAATTGTGTGTCCTAAACTAGCTACCTATGGGAAATTCCAAAAGCACTAGTAGTAGTTTGAGGAAGGTACTGCCAAAACAAATATAAAACCAAAAAGCAGCTTGTTGCTAGCAGCTACCAGTGCTCATGCTGGGAAAAGATAACATAATATGCAGACATGTTGAAAGGAAAACTTCATAGATACAATTGATCATTTTCACTGAGTTGATTTTGTGGTTTGAGACACAGAAAAAGAAAAGGAATATACGTGTGGGAAGAAATTGAAATTGGCTTTTCATGTGAATCGTGCTGAAAGGAAAGTCATAGTTGTGAAACAAGAGTTAAATGAAGAGAGAAGAGAATAATGGTTTATAGAATCTTTCTCCCTTGGTCTCTCTTTCCTTCTCTCCTTATCTAACACGGCTGTTTCTGAGATGAGGGTCAGACAGCCATAGACTCTGTGGACCACTTTCTCTCTCTCTTTCTCTCTTTCTCTCCTTCTCTCTGTCTTTCTCACTCTATATATACTAAGTAGTGGTATAAATTCACCCAATCAAGAAACAGTTTCAACTAAGCTAAAGCATAAATCTCTGTTACAGTTACCAAATGTGTGTTCACAACCTTAGAATTGGGTTAAAAACGTTAGTTTATTTCAATTGAATTACTTTCATTGTAAAAAGCTAAGATTAATTATGGAAAGTAAAATTTATAAACAATGAATTTTGTAAACAGAAGGTGGAATATATAAATAAAAGGAAGAAGTATGGTTAAAACTGGATGACTTAGTTTCTGAACAGAAGCTGATTGCACTAGTAGGTTTTGAAATAGAATGAATAATATTCTGCAACAAGAAGATAATGTGTAACTTTCAATGCGTCATTGTTTGATGACGGAGCATTCCTTTATTTTACTACTACCTAGTACTATTACTAGATAATAAATTTTAGGGAAGGAAGAAAAAAAGGGGACAAGAAAAACGCGAGTTTGGCTGGTTGGGAAATAGTAGCAGTATGATTGAAAAGAGAAAGAAAAGGGAAAAAGAGTGAACTTTACAGCCAGGTATGAAAATGATTATGCCATAATTGTATTAGGACCGTAATCTCACAAAAAGTTAGAGAGAGAAAGAGGGTGGTGCCGTCCGTGAGGCCTCACTGGTTGAGAGTAGGGGCCCACCAAATGACTGTCAGAATGACTGACAGAGAGAGAGAGAGAGAGAACAAACACAAGAAATGACTGCTACTGGTTCATGTGTCCACCCACCCATCATCACTCACATAACAAAATTCAATTTTGAAGTCAGTTTTTTTCTCAAATTACAAAACAATAACCATTTTTATTACCCAAGTTAGAGAGTAATCACATCAGAAATTACAAAATTCAAACTTTTCTTGTATAAACATAGAAAGAAAAAGAGGGAAAATTCGGAGTGAGTACAGTGTGTGCAGTGCAGCACATTTTTCCAGAAATTCGCCGCAGTGGGCCATCTCTGATCTCTTCGGAACAGTGACAACTGTGCTCCATTGCCAACACTCCTCGTGAAATTCTCGTACCATAATCATTCAAATGTTACTTTTAATGGAACTGGCTTCAAATAAATTTTCCCAATCATTCAAATTCATTATGCCTAATAATAAATTTATGCAACCATTGGGTCAATCAAAAAAGCTTCATTACGTGTTTGCCTCACCAACAACACTCGCTTTGTTTATTGAAAGTAACATTTATGGTTTGAATTAAGAATAAACTAAGTTAAGTGAGCGAGTTGAGATTTGTAGAAAATTATGAGTGAATTGAAGAACAGTGTTTGGTGTGGTGCATTGATGTACTTTGTCTGTGAGTCATACTGGTTCTCCCCACACCCCTGATTGATTGACTGAAGAGTCAAATGTGACAATTGGCAACAATCATGGAAGAAACAAGTAAAAAACACGGTTTTCCACTGAGTTGACTCGGTCATGCATCCACATCTGCCCCTGCAAATATCGTACCTTTCGTCCTTCCCTCACATTCGTCTAGTTTCATTCCCAACTTTGCTTTGCCTATTTTAAAACCATAACTGTCTATGTTACAACTTTTGGGGAACTCCTCACATGCTTCCTATTGTTATTTTTGAATTCTTAATTATTTATAATTACTAATATACTAAAATAATATTTTTAATGTATATAATATGAATAATTATATTTGTTAGGATTTCACGTCTGACTCCGTTCATATATTAAACAAGAATGGGTCACAATAACATTATAAAAAATAAAATCTACACACTATTGACTTAAGATTGAAAATAGTGTCTAAGTTTTTTCTTTTGTATGAAATATTTATGAGACTGAGAAGTTAACTAGAAATTTAATTTAATTTTACAAAATTAATTTATAAAATGAGGTTTACTTTCATTTATATATTTTAAACTGATTTTATCTTTAATTAATATAAGATTTCTAACCTTTGTGTTAAATATTTTTGACATAAAAAATTTAACTAACATGTTCAAGGTAGGTTAAACATATAAATGATTGAATAATATTTTAAAGTTTTAGTCTTAAAGAAATCCAACAAACTAATGTAATGGGTTGTGTATAATTTTATATAAAAGATTAAGACATTACTTTAAAAAAAAACCTCAAATAATATAATATATATATATATATATATATATATATCTTTAAATTTATATATTATTTATTATAAGTATATTTAAATAGCGTGAGACTTTCAACTTACCTTTAAATAATACGAATATAATATATGAAAACATGATTTGTTTGTGGCGTTAGAATAATTAACTTGTTTTACTAGAAGAATTGTATAATCTCTAAATAACTCTCAAGGTTAGATGAAGAAGGAATATTCATTTTTAAATAACAGCACTGATTGAAAAGGTAGACATTTGAAGTAAGAATGTGTCTTGTCTTAATAATTGTATGTGTTAACTTGTTGGTAGGCATTGTGTTGACCACAAGTGTAATTATTATGAATGCAAATAATTGAGTGGAGAAATTTTAGCAAACCTTTCATAATTTAAGCAACTATTCATGGTTTGACTTGTATTTAATGATTTAACGTGAATTTTCTTCATATTTAAATTCTCAAGGTACGTTTGTTTCTTACATTAGAAATAAAGGCAAAGAAAAAGGAAGAATATGGGAATGGGAAAATGTCCCTCGTTTTGTGCCTCAACATGACATAATTGTTTCAAATCACAATTTTTCAAAAATAAATTAACTAAATTAAGTGGATAATAGGTATGGATTTTGTGTTGGGTCTATTGAAGATGAGGTTTTATAGGGGATATACAATACCAGTGGTATTAGAGTTAATGGTTCGTCTTGATGACCGATTCAGGCGAGTATAATGATTTGTATCGAAAGTCTTATTGGCAAAGAGTTCTAGATAAACGTGTTTTGTTAAGATAAACGACAGTACGATGAGATACCCGTGGTTGTGATTGGTTGAGAATGCTTCCGTTGGAGGGAAAGTGTACCAATATAAAAGGGACTCGCCTTTAAAGAGAATATTGTTGAAAATCCAAACGTGAGTTTAAGTCTCAAGTTGGATAGAAATGAAAAAGTAAAAATATTTTCAAACATTTTTTTCATAAAATTAAAAAGATTTAGAAGTTAAAACTCAACTATTTTTCTCTCTTAAATCAAATAAATGCTTTCTCACCAAAGATGTAACAACAACCAACTTTTTACATAACTTATAACAAACATATGACAAGTGACACACATGTTTCACATGTATGATGTTTACTACATATATACCTTTCTAGTTTTCAAGATGATTTGTACTAATTAAGTAAAGGAGGTACACTTCCAAAAGTAGTTTTTTCTCGTCTCAAATATGTTCTCCAAAACCCTAACCAATGATTTACAAATTCAAGTAAAAAATTTACAATAAATTTATGAATCCTATACCTCATAAATCAAGCCAAATTTAATACATGTGTTAGTTATTGGAGAATGTGTGCATGTTGTGTGGTATCAATTGCCGCTGGTGTTTCCTCATTTGATATAGAGTCACTTAATGTTATTGTTTCATGGTGACACTCATTTCATGAAACATATTTATCATTATTTTTATAGTCTTCATCATCTACATTATATCTAACTGTGGAAGAGGGAGGTTTAAGCATCATATTCATTCATAAAAAAAAAATAATGATAAGAACTTTTTATATAGTTTTTCCAACCAACATTTTTATATAAGCTAAAACAAATAAGTTAACACAATAAAAAATTGTAAGATCTCTTTCTACACAAGTTATACTTCAAATATAACACATATAACATCCATGAATATTTTATTAGTTAATAACTATAACACCGCATAAAATATAAGTATATAGAATAAATGTGCCCCATAATTTTCTATGTATAATAATAAAATGAAACATTATATTATTGTCCACGAGAAGATCTATCACCTATATTGGTATCTCAGTAGTACAGGGAAAATATACGGTAGAGGCTGTTTTCGACAATCGAATTCTACAACCAAAGCATATTAATATGAAGTAAAAAATGGAGAGCTTTTAGCATCGATTATGAATCGAAGTAAAAATATCAACATCATGCTTTGATTAAAAAAATAAGAACTAAATCAAAAATAAAAAATAAAAAATTTAGTTATTTGGTCTTAGTTTTGCTCAAAATTTGAGGCCATATATCTTTTTTTTATCTATAATAATTATTTCATGTTAAGATTTTTTATATCAATTTTTACAAGAATCAAGACAAAATCACTTTTGTGCTTTCGTTATAGGAATAACAAAGGTCGAAAGTTGTTTATTTTTTTAAAATAAATTAAATGATATTTGGTTTCAGTTATTCCCAGAATCAAAATCAAATATTTCTTTTAGTTTTGGTTTTAGTTATGATTAAAATCTAATTTTGATGTTTTTTTAAAATATTTTTCTTGTTTATATTTCATTCTATATATATAACTTGCAAGAAAATCCAAAACACAAAGTACCCATAACAAAGTTTTTAATGTTTCTGTTGTATATTATCATTTAACCTTAGTGTTTATAAGGTTGAAAATGTATCTCAATCCCTATTTATTTTAATAATTTTTTCATTAATTATTTTATTTTATTTTATATTATTATTGTTTGTTATAAGAATTTGTTTTCCGTGGTAATTTTATTTATTTATTGTCTCTGTTTTATTACTAACAATTACAAGTTATATTGTCACTCCCATCAATCTAACGCATTACAATTATAAAACTCAATTCTCAGGTAATTATTCACTTAAAGCATTCAAGAAAAACATTTAAATTTTATATTTAAATCAATTAAATTATAATTATAAATATCAAAGCCATTCAAACAATATAAGCAAATAACAACATTGTACTTTTGTTTTAGTATTCTGCCCAGTAAAATTGGAAACGTAATCCAAACCCCAATAGCATATTATATTATTTGATACTGACGTAATCAAATTTCAATCCATTAAACAAAATTCTTAAAGATTCTGTATTACTTTCATACC